ACTGTTTTTACTGAACTGGCAAAAAGATATTTGACTTTAAAATAATATTTAAATAAATTCTCTGAAAACAACCTAAATGTCTACTCTAGGGAATAGATAGCTCATGAAATATTTGGTTGATAGGATACTCTTTGACATTGAAAAAGAATAAACCAGACCTTAGATGTGTTACATGGTAGACCTTAAAGTCAGTAGAATATTATGTGTTTACTATGTAAATGTTAAACATCATTTGCCATGTAACTTTTATGAAAGTGTGTGTGAGTGTAAATAAAAAGTGGATTGAGTAGCTATCGGAACTTATGATAGTGATTTTTCCTGGGGGGAAAGGAACATAAATCTGTATTTTAAAAACTCCAAGAAGATATGGTAATTTTGGTTAATAGGTTCCTGAGAATTTATTTCATTAACATTTAAACAATCTGTGTAATACTTTGTAACAAAGTAGATTCTAACTGATAATCAGACATTTATTAAGACTCTGGGAGTGAGAGTGGGCTATTGTTTAATGTCTTAGTATTTCACAGTGTCATTCTATGAAAAATGAAAATTAACAGAATGAACTCTGAACATGAGGAAAGCTCCCAGCTGAGCTGGCTCCTGGGGAGCTGTAGGAATATCTAACTGCCTGGGTCCAAACTGTTCTGGGTACCTTTTAGCTTGAGACCTTGGGTGAGTCATTCTTTAGGCCTGTTTCCTTACCTCTGTGATGAGAATAGTCCCCATCTTAGTGCTTTTGTGGGGATTGTATGAAGTTGTGCATGTGAAATGCAAGTGTATGCATGCAGCAAAGATCAGCTGTTATTATTTTCACCAGCATCCTTGCTACCCATGGGCTCAGTTCTTCCAGGGTACCATTTTCATTCTCACCTCAGAATAGTTGTCAGTGCTGTATCCTATTGTCTGGAATGTTTTTCCTTACCACTGTGTTTCAACTGGTTCACTTTTGCTTCTCTTTCAGAGCTTGCTAAATATGCCACAGCTGTAATTTGATGATTACTTATGATGACTTGCTAATGTCTGCCTCTCTTGCTGGGTTGCAAACTTTTTTCTTCTTCATGACTATATCACTGGTGCTTTAAACCGTATCTGGCCTCCAAGAGCACTGGGAAATTCCGTATTGACAAAATCAACAAGTTACTCTAGAAGGTAAAAACACCATGCAGAGATAGTTTACCAAGAAGTGAATTTGACGCAATGCACGTTGCCTTAGGTATTAATCTTCTGATATTAGGAAGTAAATTTAAGATTATAGGATTTCATATTATCATGTGTATTGGTTTTTTGTAATAATAAATTATAAGGAACTCCAAATAAAGACCTGCCCCTTATTTGTAACTTGGCCTTAGGAGATCATCCAATGGATAGTGGTTATAAATACTATCACATGTTTTTATTTTCTGTGAAAAGCAGGACAGTTTACAATGCAGGAATCTTAAGGTTTTGTGGTTTACTCATCTAATTAGCCACTCTTAACCTAACTCATTTTTTTCTTTTAAAAATAGCAGAAGAGGTAAAGAAGAAAAATTCACTGATAGGAGATACTTCAGAAGGGCCAGAATAATCTAAGCTCATTTCAAATGAACTAACATAAGTAGTTTGAAAAGGGTACTTTTATAAGTCAAATGGGATGTTATTTGTAACTTTTATGCAAAGCCAAGCAATAAAAGCCTTTGGGAGGGGGACTTTTACAGTCAAGGAAAAAGCAAGAAACCAAACCAGTTCTCTTTTATTTTAAAATTTTGTGGGGGTACCGGGGATCAAACCCAGAGCTTCATGCATTTGAGGCAAGTGCTCTAACACTGATCGATTCCTCTCTTCCCTGTTGCCTGGTTCCCTTTTAATTGCAGGACTGTTTAGTATGGAGAGAAATATAAGAATATTTTAAATTTTGAGGAAGAGCTATGTATTCAGATATCAGCATATTGCTCCAGGAAAAGTAAAGCACAAGATTTGTAATTGAAAGCCCAAAGTTTTTAGATAAATTGAGGAGTAGAATAAAGTGAGACCAAGCAAGAACCCGGACTTTCAAAACATTGAAGAAATTCTTATGATTCAGATGGGAGGTAGGAAGGTGAAATTCCAGGGCTAGGAAAACAGTGCAAAGCCCCACACTAACAAAGACTCATCCCCTTTAGAGACATGATTTTGTAATGGAAATCACTGGGAAAAATTAATTTAAAGCCATTTTTTAAGGTTCAATGTTTCTATCAACTGTAGAATATTAATATATTTTCCATTCATTCATTGTTTTCAATTACTTTCCAAGCTCAGATTCAAAGCAGCATTTTTTTAAAAAAAATGGAAGGGAAATACATTTTCTTTAGAAGTATGCAAAATTAATTATTACTTGGAGTATAATGTTGGGAGTACTGGAAAATACCGAGCTCCACATATTTAGACACTTTGTATAGCAGCACCAGGAAGCTAGCTGTGAGTGCACATTATCAGACCTGTGATTCCAACCTGATTGAGAATTGGCAGCTGAACAAAGTGCTCACATGATTCAATGGAGATTAAGATTGAATAAGCATTCCTCTACAAACCCCTGCCAAGAGGACCTTAGAAAAGAATATCTTTACTTATGGGTGACCCACTATCCAACCATGTAACCTATTATTATCTTTAAGCACCCTAAATATGATCAAGTTCTTCCTAGTACAGAGAGAGCTCAGACCTACCTCCTTAAATTCTTCATTCCCTGACCTTTTTGTTTAATGCCCTGGAAGCCTTCAGAACTAAGCTAATTCCCCTTCTTCTTGAAGGCCCTTCAAACATGAAACTGGGCTACTTTGTTTCTTTCCTTGATTTAAGTCTTTTCTGGGTAAAACTAAATCCCATCCTCAGCTCTTTCTGGTAAGACACTGCTTGATTTTTCTTTACTAACTTATTCAGACTAAATAATTCTAAAAGATTCTTTCAACTTGTAACTGATCCTTTGCTCCAGTTAGTAATAAGTGATAGTGGATGGAAGATAATAAATGCTCAGGAGTAGTACTTTGTATAAATTTGGGGAGAATAATTCTGATGCACAAATTTGTCATGTTCTATAATTTCTTTAGGTTCAAAATCTGTCTCATGGTGAAGAGTTCTCCTCTGTTATAATAGTAGCCACCTTGCTTTTCTTCTAGTTTCTAAATGGGTCAAATATTTAGTACTTCAAAGTATAATGTATATAAAAATATATGAAAAGAATCATTTTCCTTTGCTCTATGAATATTAAATGTATGCACTTTCAGAAAAAAAAAATCCCTTGTATTGCATAACTCAGACTATCAACTGACTGACTTTGTCTCCAGGACCTGTAAATCAAATGTTGCATGCATACAACGAACAGATAGATATTGTCTCTGTGTGCTCAACTTTTAAATATTTTGTTTTTTTTTTACTTGGTGGAATCTGTTTTTGCATATTACTATATGATTTTCATAATAAGCAAAATTATTTCCTGTTGAGGACATTAGATTTATTAGTAGCTTCTGATACAAAATAATCACCAGAGTTTTGCATTTTTGATATTTGTTTCCTAAGATTGTTTTAAAAATACAAATAATTTCTAACAGAAGAAAACATACAGTTTTTGTTGGTTAATTTCTGTGTCAGTGTTAGTCTGTGTAAGAAAAGCTATAGTAGGAGCAATGTAAGAATGTTTTTCAACTCTTTTTTTTTTTTTCTTCAGGAAGTGGTCTACAACACTTTCTGACACTAGTTGGTCTTGTTAATTCACCCACACTTCCTTCCTGCTTTTTTCTAGATATTTCTGTTATTCTTAACCTCCTTCTGCTCTCTTTCTTTCATCTAAGGTTTTGAGGGGCAAGCTCCTTCTCTCACCTCTGCATTTAGCAACAAAGCTTTATACGTGTGGAGAGAAGCTGAAAAATAAAACAGATGGCTATTCCGTTATCAGGTTGCTTTGGATTAATTGAGCTGGATATGTTATTTTTCTTGAGGAGATTGAGCAGGATCCTTTGGAAGACCAGCCAAGAATGGCAGTAATACAATTTATGCTATTGATTTGGCTGTTGAATTTTTTTGTTTATTTCATTTTGATTTTGCATTTAGTAATTTTGTTACCCTGTAAAGCAGTGTATAGGTATTCAGAAGTGAGTCTATTAAAATAGTGTTTTCATTACATTTTTTTTAATGGCTTCAGAGTTTTCTTGAGTATCTTTGCTATTCTTAAAAGTAAGATATCTTTATGTTTTATTTTAGCACTTGCAAGGGAAGAAACAGCCAAATCCTGGGTCTTGGATCATTTGTGGTAGAAGGCCTCAACAATTTAGCAGACAGCCTCCTGAACCTTCACATCTGGGTTGCTCCTAACCACACTCTTCATCTTTAGGAATAGAGGGCCATTGAGAAACAGATTCCTAAAAGTGCGGGTAAGCAAAAGATAACTCTATCATTATCTTAGATTCTTTCCATGTAAGTTTGAACATTTGAAATGTTCTTATACAATGTTTCTGTTTTTAGCAGGTGGTGTTAAAAAAAAAAAAAACCTCTGTTTATACAGCTGCTTGTTATTTGCCCTTATACCAGTTTTGCAGGTGCCCAGGAGGCCCATGAGAATGTCAGTATAACCAATCAAGGCCTTTTCAAAAAAAAAAAAACAAAGTCAAGCTACAGAAATTTTAACTACAATTTTTATTTTCAATCCAAATATGCCTACTCTGTGGCTGTTCTAAGCTAATATGGAAGCAAGGAGTAAGCAAACTGAAGTTAAAATTACGACATTGTGTGCAATGCAAATGTTGTAGAAATTCTATTAACAACTGTAAAACCTCGGGCAAGAGATTTGCTCTCAATATATCCCAGTTATCCTATTCCTTAGTAATTGCCTAAAATAACTAAAATCAGCATACTACACTGATGCAGAAACATCAGTCTTCATAGCAGCAAAATTCACAATAGCCAAGTTAAGGAATCAGCTCAGGTACCCGTCAACTGATGAATAAATTGAGACGATATATTATATATACACAATGGAGTTTTACTCAGCCATAAAGAACAACAAAATTATAGCATTTGCTATTTTCATGCTAACTGAAATAAACCAGACTCAGAAAGTCAAGGATAGAATGCTTTTTTCTCAAATTCGGAAGCCAGAGCAAAGGAAAAGGAAAAGGGAGAGGATTTAGATTAGTTGAATAGAGGAAGGAGCTTGAGGGGGAAGAGAGGAAAAATGAGAAAAAAGAGGAAATACAGAATAAATTTGACAAAGCTAGGCTATGTACCTGTGTAAATATACCACAATCCCACCTTTATATATATCTATGAAGCATCAATAAAAATACAATTAATAAATGGAGAGAAGACCACTAGATGAAAAGGAATATGAAGAGGGAGAAGAGGAGGGAAAAAATGAAGCAATAGAGACTGAAATTAAGCAAATTAAATTCCATGCATTTATGATTATGTCAAAATGAACCCCACTATTATGTATGATGATATTGCATTAATGAAAACATTTAAAAATGGAGAGAGGGAGAGGGAGAGGGAAAGGGAGAGAGAGAGAGAGAGACAGACAGACAGACAGACAGACTTGCTCTTTCTGGGCCTTGTTTTCTCAATAAAACTAATTCTAATTTCCTTTGTATTTACATACAGCAATTAGCAGTAATTAATTTCATTAAAATTCCCTTAAACAACTTTGTTTATTCTCCTTACTATTCCTGAAGATTCATGCACAAATTTAGGACACCAGCTTATTACCTTTTATCTAAAGTTTAAAACAAAAGTGCCCACTAGGAATTGGCTACATGTTCAACCAGTGAAACTTGGTAGTCTTTCTGATTCATTCAGGTTCAAGAACCATTATTCTAGCAAATTCGTTACATTGCCCAGTTGTTTGGCCATCTTTTTGTAAAGGACTCATATTGACAGAGAACATTATGCTTTTGTGATTCTGGAAAATTTGGATAATCACAATGGTCTTGGATTTTGTCCTTAGGAGTCTCTAACTCTTGCTTGTTCACACTGAGATTATTTGTGGCGGTTTCAAACTCCTTCCCCAGCATAGTCCTGAGCCATTTACTAGACTTGCACAGCTCTTGCCTGCCACCAGATAGGGTGGCAATGGGGCTAGATACTCAAGTTTCTTACTTCCTGGAACCTCTAATTGAATAGAATCTGGCTTGTAATCTTGGTGATGTGTGCATCTGGCTTTCCTGCCAATCTTCACTTTTATTATGAATGATACCTATTTGCCAACTCAAATTATTTGTAGAGTTCTTGATTTTTTTTTCTTGCTTTACGATATTAGTTTGAAATGCTGGGTTTAAATCTGGATTTGTTATGTGTTTGCTTTTTAAGTCTCAGAGCAGTTTTATTATGAAAGGCATAAAAGGATGGGTTTTCTATAGCCAGAAATAGGGTCTAAGTTTTGCTGAAGACTTACTACTATTTTGAGTGTCTTGCATTTTATATTCAGAAGTGGGTTAGGAAGATTTAATGTCACAGATACTTTGAAATGTTAAAATTAATGTGAAGAAATAATAGCTACCACAGTAATGAAAACTTATTTTTTTGAAGCTATCATTATTAGCACAATGTTACAAGTCATTAAGAATCATCAGGAAGTTTTGAAGCTCATTTTTTTTTTTTTTTTTTTAGTGAAGGCTTGGTATACAGTAGCTAGTACTTCACTAGTTGGAAAAGAATTAAGACAAGAATATATGAGTCCTTCCATGTGCCAGATACTTAGATGCTTTATATTTATTATTTACAATAGCCTTATTGTATTATTGTACATTGCTGTTGTTATTGTACATCCTATAGAGGAAACTGAAGTATATAGAGGTTAAGCAAATTTCCAGGAGTATATAGCTAGTGAAAGGAAAAATTGATGTTCAAATTCAGGGGGTCTGAGTCTGATGGTTAAGCAAGCTATCCTAACACCTACCTATGCTGCTGTCTACAAGAACAAATTGCATGAAGATGAAGAAGTAAAATGGAAGAACCAAATTATAGTAGTCTTAAATGCTAGTCTTAGTGATTTTTATGTTCGTTTGTCAGACAATGAGAAACCAGTGAAAGTTTTCCTGTGGGATTGGTAACAAGAGGAGATATGAGCATTTCCCCCCAGGTATAATGTATGGGCTGGTTTAAGGGGGAGAGATTAGAGATCATTGGGAATAGCTGAGGTAAGAAGAAGTGAGAATGTGGCTTTAAAAACAGCATTGAGATGGCAGCCTGAGAGCACCTGTCCTGAGGTGGGCAGAGGCTAAAGAGATCTAGAAGCACAGGGAGAGAAGTTACTGAGACTCAGGCTGGTGCCGCGTACACAAGAGGAAGTGGTTCAGGAATTGAACACCATGGAGATCAGAGAGGATTGGAACAAAATAAATGAGTGTGTTTGGCAATAGCCATTAATTTACTCCTGTATTGACTTGGTTTTTTTTCTTATGGAATAAGTAAATACTATTGTGCTAGAGGATAATCCCCATAAAAAAGCTCTTCTATACTGTCAACTCCATTACTTATTGGCAAGATCACCTTTGACAAATTTTTAATTTTTTTACAATGCCAGTTGCTTGATGTTACTCGCCTAAATGCCCTCAACCTTTCTGTTCTTCATAACTCTAAGGTGTGTAATTCTTGAGTCCACGTTGTAAATAGCAATAATTGGAAATATTGTTTTGAATGTTTGGCCAGTGATTCATTTGGCACTTTTAGGTGAATAAACAGAAGTAGAATGAAGTGTATGGTATAGGTATAATGTGAAGAAAGGAGTCCTACCAGTAGTATCAAAGTGATACGGGAGTAGATGGAAGGGTAGGATGGACAAGTGTGCAAGGAATTTAAAAAGAAGCCACAAACATTCCCTAGAATGGTGAGAAATTTTTCTCAAAGCCACTTCTCTTCAAAGAGACTCTGGGTAGTTCCTTCAGGGAGAATTCTGTTGATTAGAAATTTTAAAAGGTCAAGCTCTAAATACTTGTTTAAGGGATGTACCATGGGACTTAGAAGGAGCTTCTAGTTCCTCTCAAATATTATTTTCTGTGAGGCCCTGATTCTTCCAGGGGGTTTCATTTCCTCCCTCCTTGACCAATGCTTTTCAAACACTGAGATCACTGAGGAAGAATCTGGTTAAAATTCAAATCCTGCCCTGTAAATCAGAGGGTGGGGCTGAGATTCTACATTTCTGCCACTTTCCCAGGTGATGCCAATACTGCTGGTTCATGGAACCACACTTTGAGTAGCAGAGGTCAAAACCATTTTGCTTTTCTTCTCATTATAAATAATCAAAATAATTTTGAATCAGTGTAATTCAGCTCCTTTACCAGACTGTGAGCCCTATTTTTCATATCCTAGATTAGAGTACATATACAATATGTGTGTGTGTGTGTGTGTGTGTGTGTGTGTGTGTGTGTGTGTGTAGATACATAGGCAATCTCTTATTGATGTGAATAGGTTAAAAAATGTTACTTTGGTCAATGATTTGTATTATTCAGTATCCTCAATAATTTGTATAGTATTTGAGTAATATTTGTTTAGGCAGGGGGTTTTACTTTTAAATGAGATGTTGAAGTAAATGTTTTGTTAGAAAATGGGCACCAGCATATGATGTGAAGTAAGGTTTTCAAGTAAAGTTAAAATACATTTGATGTATGATTTATGAAAATGTATTTCCACCCAAAGAATTGTACTTGAATATTCTATGCAGTTTTATTTACAATAACCAAAAATTGCTAAGAAATTAAATGTCTATTGTGTAGTGAACTAATAAATTGTCGGCCATACAATGACATGATGCTTAGCAGTAAAAGTAAATGATCTTCTTGTAAATTTTGCAACATGGACAGCTTTTTCAAAGGCATTATGCTAATTGAAAGAATCAAGGAATTAGATACACACTGTGAGATTACATTTATATGAAATTTTAGAAGAATTAAATAGTGAAATTATAGTGATAGCCGATCAAGTTGCTAGGGGCCGGGAAGTAGGGGAAAGGAATTGAGTGGAATGAGGAACTTTGGGGGTTTATGGGAATGTTTAGTATCATGGCTTTGGTGATGGTCACATACATGTATACATTCTCCCAGACTCATCAAATTGTACACTTAAAAGTGGTGAATTATATTGTATAAAATTTTATCTCAATAAAGCTAATTTGTTTTACAAAAGTAGCCATAGTCATTACCTGTTCACAATATATAATACTGTTTTGGAGGTTGATATCTTATCAGTAGAATATTAATTAATATTAAGAAAATTTTTAAAAAGTATCCCCTCTTAGAGAGCTGGGGCCTGGGGAGAAACCATGAATAAACAGAAGTGCCTTTAAAAGCTTCTTTGTCTATTTGCAATGGAGCTGAATCTAAAGCAACAGATCTCGAAAACAGGAACTCCAGTTCATTTATTTTTAGCATGCAGTGTCGTT